CTGGAGTAGTTATTAGAGATTATTAGGAATTATGTAAAAATTTACGTAAAAACACATAAATCAAAGAGAAATAATCTCTTACATAATAACTTATGTGGTTTGGTATATAAATGTTCATATACAGGGTATTTCTTAATGACGTGCTAATATTTAATGGGGTGATATGAATGTATGTCCAAAAATGCCAAAACAACTAAATATGTTAGAATCAGCAACTAGTCTTCTTTCTACTATATTATTCATGGCGATACTCTTTTTGACTAAAACTCTTTTGCCCTTTCTGTATGCTGAATTAATACCTATTTAAGACACACCCTGTATCAATAAACTACTGAGTTATTACATAAAATTTTAAGTATTCCAAGAACAGATTCTTTTTAAAACATTTATGTCAAAAGATTAATGGATTAAAGCCGGCAAGACTGTCATCTTGTGTCTATATAATATTATTCCACTCCCAGACCGTTACAATAACACAATACGATGTTTCATAAATATACGAACAAAAGGAGCGTAATATATTGCAAAAAAGCATCGATGAAATGTGAAAAAGCAAAAATGAAAGTGGAACCTGTTTTAAATCTCATCAGGTTAATGTTCCTTTAAAAAAATACAGGTTAAAAAAATCGAAATTCTTGCAATTTAAAACTAAGTAGTTCATCTAAAAAATTTTGTCGTTGGTTAATAAATTCGTAATCTTGAAAAATGGTCTCGAGGCGAGAATTCTGCAGACGGGAAAGAATTTTCGCCCTCACGAATTTCAAAATATAAAATTTTCTACCTATCCAACCATGGCCTCGAGAAATAAAAAAGTTCGAGAAACCAGAAACCCTAATAGAGACACTAGATGCCAAAATGACGTTAGCATTTAGCATGTAAACTTTAAATTAAAATCTGTAAAATTCTTAGGGCTTGTTGTAGACAATTCTCTAAAATGGGACATGCATATCGACGGTTTGTCGAAAAAATTAAGCTCTACCTGTTTTGCATTAAGATCTGTATCTAAGGAGCTTAACTTGTCAGTCGCTAGAACTGTTTATTATGCAGTTTTTGAGTCGCACCTCAGATATGCCCTTTCATTCTGGGGTACGTGTTGTGCGACTCAATTTGACCGCATTTTCAAGCTCCAGAAGAGAGCTGTTCGATATTCACTGGGACTAAACAGCAGAACTCATTGCCAGGATTTTTTTTAATTAAAAATATTAACTCTTCCTTTCTTAGTTATATTTGAATCCGTTTGCCTAATACGTGAGTATGTATCAGCTTCTCAAGAAAGGCCATCTCACACTTATCCACTCGGAAACGCGGAGCAAGATCTTTATCTACCTACCCCACGCTCAGAGTTAGTTATAAGTTCAGTATTATACAACTCGAAAAAAATGCACAACTGAAATCAAATCCATAACATAATTTTCTTCATTTCGCAAAGCATTGAAATCTTATTTACTAGACAAGGCTTTCTACGCCGTAAATGACTTATATTTTGATAATCGAATTTGATCTTGTAAACACTGGTCTAATATTTGCTATTACTATATTTACTATAAACTTACTAAATATTTTTGAATCTTATTTTTATTTTTTTTTATTCTTTGACATTGTAAACATGTATAAATGTTTATTTTAAACCATAAAACTGACAATGTAATTTGTGTACTGGTTTCGTATTCTCTTTTGTTTGTTTACTTTACTTTTGTCTACAAATTGTAAAACTTTTTGACAATATATACTCCAGGGTTGTCGCAACTAACGTCGCATCCCCACGCCTAACCGTCACCTGTTACGATCAAGAACATCTTCTTCTTCCAAGTTACGGTCCTCCATTGCCCTTCTGATGGCCTCATTCCAGGATCTTCTAGGCCGTCCTCTTTTCCTTTTTCCAGGAGGTGACCAGCTGTAGATACGGTAGGGCCATCTTTGGTGTTCCATGCGTAGCAAGTGTCCAAACCACTTAAGGCCCCTCTATTCGACTCTATCCACTATTGTCTGTGTGGCATCCATTTTGGCTCTGATTTCCACGTTCCTAACTCTGTCCAGTTTAGATACTCCCGCACTGCGTCTCAAATAGTCCATTTCGAGTGCATTCAAAGCTCGCTTTTGTTCAGCTTTTAAGGTCCAAACTTCACACCTATAAGTTACTACCGACTCCACTAGGGCTGTTCCAATATGTACTTTTGTGTTTGGTCTTATGTTTTTGTCCCACCAGATGCCATTCAGTGCTCCTATAATCTTCCGCCATTGTTCTATTCTTGCAGATACTTCTGTTTTGTCCAGTCCCTTTCTGGTTATACGTGCCCTCAAATATTTAAACCATTCAACCTGTTTGAGCTTTGCATTGTCAGTAATAAAAATGTCAAATTTATCATCTGAATTGATCACTAGATATTCCGTTTTATCAATGTTCACAGTAAGGGCCCATTCCGTGTATGCCGAATTTAACCTACTCATCATGAATTCAAGGTCGTAAGCATCTTGAGCTATGACCACCTGATCGTCGGCAAAATTCAATGTAACCAAACAGTCATCTCCTACAGGGACGCCCATTTCCCCACACCTCTTTTTCCAGTCCCTAGGAACCACTTCCAAATACAGATTAAATAAAAGAGGCCACAGAGGACATCCCGTCGAAGGCCTTTAGTTGTAAAAATTACCTCAGACAGTTTGTTACCGCTCTTAACACGAGCTGTGTTGTTGTTGTAGAGCACCTTAATTAAATTTATGAGACAATCATCCACATCAAGTTGTTCCAGTATGTACCATAGTTTAACTCAGGGGATGGAGTCGTAAGCTTTTTGAAGGTCTACAAAAGCTAGATGTGTATCTTCTTCACGTGAATTCCGTTTTTCTATCAGTTGTTGGATAGTAAATAGATTATCTATACATGAACGCCCTGCAGTAAAGCCACTCTGCTCTTCACTGATTTTGTTGTAAGTAGATATTTCTAACTTATTTCTAATTATTTTTGTAAAAAGTCTGCTGAAGGTGCAATTCACACTAAGACCTCTGTAGTTATTCGGGTCTTTTCTGTTCCATTTTTTATATACAGGGTGTTTCAAAACAAATGCGAAAAACTTCCTTGTTCAAAATAAAGGGTAGTTTGCTTCATAAACGTTGGGTCAAAAGTCAACCATTAGGGAGATATTGCGGTACAAAGATGGCGGAAAAATAATGTTTTTATTTTTTATCTTGAAAACGAAAAGAGATAGACTAATAAAATTTTATGGAAGCATTACTGTTATGAACACACACTTTCTGGTAATTTTTTCACTTTTTTAAAATGAGTGGAAGGGGTTGAAATAAACTACCCTATCATTCTTGTTAACGAAATTTAAAGAAAATCTTATCAAACACATGCAAAAAATTAATTTGGATAGTTTAGTTTGTTTAGAAACTTTTAATCTCTTGTATTTTTTGATAAAACTCACCGATTTGAAATTAAAAAATAAAATGTAAAGCATTACATGTCAGGACAAAAAACATTTTCTGATAAAGAATCTAGTGGGCTGCTGTATTTTTTTTAGGAAAAAATCTAGTCGGCCGCTGTTACTTTTTAGGATGTTCCTAATATTATTTTATTTGACATTACTCTATTGCAATACGTTATTTTCTAGATGATTATTATTATCGTTATTATCACTAGATTCTTAATCTAAAAATGTTTTTTGTCCTGACATGTAATGCTTTACATTTTATTTTTTAATTTCCAATCGGTCAGTTTTATAAAAAAACACAAGAGGTAAAAAAGTTTCTAAACAAACTAAACTATCCAAATTAAAGCATGTGCATGTGTTTGATAAGATTTTTCTTTAAATTTCGTTAACAAGAATGATAGGGGTAGTTTATTTCAACCCCTTCAAACTGGAGTTATTTAATTATTAATAAATGTACATAGTTTTTTATTAAATTTTGTTGTTTTAATTTGAGATATATCATTACTGAACATCTTTAGCCTGTGGTAATTTTCTTAATTTTATTCTTCTTATTTTTAAATATCACCTTAACTTGGCTTAAATTAAGTGGTGCCCAACAATATGCAAAAATAATTAAATGAACCTACACCTACTGTTCACCAGACGAAGAGCAGCCGTACGCTGTGGTTTTCTTTTTAATTTTTACCATCTCTTTATAATTTTTCCTAATCTTTTAAAAAGTCGCCGCAATATAGGCTAACTTCCATTCATTAGGTATTTTATTCCGATCTACTTTACATTTTTGACAATAATAGCATTTATTTATTTATCTAGATTGGAATGCCCGTCAATATTTTGGGTCGCGACCGTTGTACGCGATCTGGCGCTGCTATTGCAGTTGCTAAGAACAAGCGCAAACAAAAACAGAAATAATTTTCTCTTATCCAAATCTCTTGTCAAAGTCAGAATCTTCAAAAATTATAAAATCTTTCAAAACATGAACCGGTCTCGTTGAAAAAATTCCGAAAAGTGTTTAAATCGTCCATTTTCAAAGTAATTATTGCTCTCTTGTGAGTTTAATTTAAGTTTTATTTACTCAAACCAGTGATAATTGTGACAAAATGGCATTAAAAAGCTGTGCTGTAAACTGTGAACTGCAAAAACCATCGTGGATCGTGGCATAACGTCGGTTTCCAATAGTTCATAGGTATTTCATACATGTCCTTATATAAAATAAAGTTCCTTGTATGCAACACACTGTATTTTATTTATAAAATTAAAAGAAAATAATAATAAATTTGAGTAAATAATATTTGGCGATATAATTCCGGAAAAAGCCGAACCGCTCCGAAATTTGCAAAAGCTTTGGGTCGCGACCGTTGCAAGAACAGCGCTAAATAGTGTTTACTTTGTCCTTATGGGCATTTTCTAATCTAAACTTGATTTAATGAACGACATACTGTATCCAGATCTATTATTAATTTCAACATCGAATATTTTTCGAAGTATTGTACATCTCTAATGATTTGCCGCTCAAGTACTACAAGTACCGCTTTTTCTGGGTTAAATAGAAATTCTTTCTGCACTTACTGCAATATCTTTCCTGCCTCTTTGCTGCGGTAGATGTCGCATTTGTGCAGCGACTTGTAGGGGTCTCCCGGGGAGAATTGACCGGCGGCTTGGCACAACGCCCTGTAGATTTGGAATTGCAGCACCGTGCTGACGAAATACCTGAAACAAGAACGGATAATAAAGTAATATAAATACTTCTGTGACATTTTTGCGAACAGGAATATTATCAACAAGGGAAGACAAATAAATTTACCTAAATGAATAAAAACAATGTCGGGATATACTAATTATAACTGAAGTATGGCTCGAAATAGCAGAATAGCTATTAAAATATCGAAAAAAATTATACAGACTTTTTTTAATAGTTATTTTTTATAGAAGACTAAAAAAATCGCGAGTGAATTAATTTCGGGAGACGATAATGCAATTTTATCGTCGTGTATAAAAAAATTTTTTTTCCCTAGCGAGTTACGTTTTAAAAAATATTCAGAAATTATTATTTCAAGGAATTTATTACGAGTAGAAAAAATATTGTGCTGGGTTGGCGTTGGTTTCTACGTAATTTGACAAATAAATAAAGCTGTCTCTTTAGTTGTCAGTTTTGAGTCAATATTTTTTAATTCTCTTTCGTGTCGATTGCTGATTGAATTGGAGCCAGAAATGGCTCAAAACGAAATAAGTAAATTACCAACAGATATTCAGGCTGAGGCGACAAACGCCATATCCAAACTACTTCTATTTAAATCCCGAATAACTTATGAAAAGGAATAGAAAAATTTTCAAAAATGGAAGCAATTAAAAAACGTGCGAGAAGAAATATACAGCTTTTAACCTCTCCTATCTGTTAAAGTATCATTTAATCTACCTTTGTGGTTAAAGTACTATTTTATCTACTATTTTTGATAGACATAAGGCAATTTTAACAGTTGCTATGGAAAAAAAATACGTGCTATAATAGTAGATTATCAATAACAACTAGACACATGTAATAGGTACTTTCAAATATTGCCACTAGGTGCTATAATAAATATTACGCTTTATATTAATAAAATTCGAATTTTATGCGGACGAAGTCGCGGGAAAAAAATTAATATGTAATAAAGTATTACCCAATTAATTTTAAGCCAATCTAATAGTTGTTACGCAGAGACAAATTAAAAAATTAATTAAAAGAACTAATAAATTGCTAATAACTATATTAATTTTTTACTTAAAATTTAAAATAAGATTTAATTTCATAAATTAAGGCAGTAAAAACTCTAACACTGCATCTAAAATAATCTGTTTATTACATTATATAACATTCACATAGCTATTCGCAGCATTATGCTATTTATATACTTATATCGATAAACAATTTATGCAACTTGAGTAGATTTTCTGATTAGATTGATATCTTATACAGAGTGATACACTCTTACAAAACACCTTCATATTAAGAGTTTGTTTCTGCTTTTTAGCAATAAATGTTAATAACAGCCACTACCTATACCCAACAGGAAACCAAAGAAAAATGTTACAAGCAGACGTTTTCTTTTTCTCTTTTTTCCATAATGGAATACATGTTTTCTATATTTTAATTATGTCATAAGAAGTAAATAAAAATGTTTTAATTACTTTGACCAGAAGTTTTGATTGGCGTTGTTGACAGGTGACTAGTTTCGAAAAGTCGAAACATTTTGGAAACAAGGTTTCCATTTATTCTCGATTTATTTTCGAAACACGAGTTTCTCTCTTTTTAGACACAAATATGATATAATGTAGATGATTTGTGTCAGACTCCGTGTCAATTTTATAAAATAATAAATTAAAATTCCGCCATGTTGGCTAGTGGTAGCGTTTTTACCTAAAATATATATTTTTATCGGCTGTTGAGCTGTTAAACTCATAAGAACGCGTTTTACTTACATTTATTTAAATATTTTTATTTTCAGAACCTATGGGTGTTGTATCGTCGAACGGGACATAGGAAATCCCATGTAAATTTTAATGGGGTCAATTATTGGCTTCCCTAATTATTTTAGAGAATAATTCTATTTAGGTTTATTGAAGAGCACTAAAACCCACATTCAAAAGAATAACTTTAGATATTTTTGATTAGCTCATTTACGAGTTATCGCCGATTTCTTTTTAAATATTTCTCCTTTCTTATGGCCCTGTATTTACTTATGAGCACCAGTCAAGGTAAAAGATAACTGTCAAATGAAGTTGTCATTTCAGAAATTTACCTATTTAGTGCTTTATTATTATTGAAAACTCATTCCTACATCGGAAATCTTAAACATATTTGAAGGAATAGTATTTATGTCGTTTCAAAATTCGAAACGCTGTAGTGTGATCTATTCCTATTTCATTCTCAAGTTTCCTTGTTCTGATCTTTCCATCTTCTCTTCCACGCACAATAAAACTTCCAAGTCGGTATCATTTCTTTCATCTTCTCTTTGTTCCTGCCTTGCTTCACATCTGCAGTTATTTATTAGGGTACCTTTGGTCTGAAATCTCTGGATATTCCTTGCGATTGTAGATTTTCCAGGTATCGGTCTATTCGGATACATAGCAGCAAACATGTCCGACACCTTTTGATAACTATTTCCTTGATAATACCATTTAATCATCAATACTTTTTCTTCGGTAGTGTAATTCATGGCTAATATTTTCGATGTAGGTATAAGTTTTTGATAATAATAATAAAGCACTAAATAGATAAATTTCTGAAATGACAACTTCATTTGACATTTATCTTTTACCTTGACTGGTGCTCATAAGTAAATACAGGGCCATAAAAAAGGAGAAAAAAAAAAGAAATAACGGCGATAACTCGTAAACGCGGGCTAATCAAAAATATCTAAATTTATTCTTGTGAATGTGGGTTTTAGTGCTCTTCAATAAACCTAAATAGAATTATTCTCTAAAATAATTAGGGAAGCCAATAATTGACCCCATAAAATTATTTCCTATGTCCCGCTCGACGATGCAACACCCGATATAATGGTTGCAGAAAGAAAAATAAAAATCTATATTTTAAAGATGCTACTTGGGCGGAGATGGGGAACTAACTTCTATAAAACCGTCTCAGATACTGGCTTTTGTCAAAGCCTTGAGACTGTATGATGAGTTATAACTCGGGAAAGGGTTGGCAAAAGTTCTACAAACAGGAAAAGATCTACAAGTAGTTTGTTTACACTTTATTTGTATACGTTAGGTCAAAACAAACCAATGATCCATGATTATTATCTTTTATACATGTCTGACGAAAAACTCAATGTTTAGATATTTATGAAGAGTGGACCATCCTGTAGATACAGACTGAGCATAATATAACCCAGACATGAATGTCTGGCAAAAACCATAAGACCGATAAAAACAAATAATGTTTAATTCCATTCAGATCGAATAAAACTATTACATATATAGATAACGGTCCTGTTTATGGCACATATATAATAGTAAGTACCACTTTCTCCTGAAAATAGTACCGATATTCGACAAGTAGCAAAACGATCGTAAAATGCAAAAGCTCGGAATTTAATACACTGTTATTAGATAGGACGTAATGTAATATGAAAATTAGATAACGAACTGTCGAGTATTAAATAGCCTAATAGAAGTACGGTACCTACTATCTAAAAGAAATGTAACGTAACCAATGTAAGTATGTGATTGCTTTCGTTTTACTATAATTGCGAAATTTTCATGAACTTGACAATGACAGGGTTTGGGTAAATTTTACGTTGAAAATTGATAAAAACAAGTGTAAAGTAATCGCAAAACAAATTCCGATGCACGTAATCAACTTTGAGTGACAAGCGATGGCGACAGCGCTGCCAGATTGTGATGGATTTATGAGATGAATCATAATGTAAAATTGGGAAACAATATATTTATTATATAATTTTTTAAGATTTTATTTTTAATTTAATAATTACTATTTTAGTAATTAATTAATTTAATAACATAGTAAAATAATAACATATAAAATCCTACACGCGTTTTTAAAAAGAAACATATAACCACGCACTATGTCACTCCAGCAAGCGAATACGACACAGCATGGGTTTCCGGACTAAACGACTGGTGTATTTACACCACTCAATAGGCGTGTCGGGTTTGCCGAACGGTTTCCGATGCAGTCGCTTTCTTTCGCATCTGTTGTGATAATGTGCTTACCAATCAAACTTACTTCTGACTGCAAGCAAGTGTAATAAAGGACCTTTATTGTCACGTTCTCGTTCAAAATAGTTTATCATGGAAGCTACAACCTCTTTGCTTCGACTGTTTAAATGCTTCGGCATATTTTCAACACACAATTTCAAGAAATGCAATACAAAAACTCGAAAATTTAGTTCTTAAAAGAACTGTTTGTGCTTAAAAGTACAACTTTTGAAAAGAAGACTATGAAAATCACTTTAAACTAATTTTTCAGCTCTAAACTAAATAAAATATATGTTACAATCATTTGCTCTATAAAGTAAAATGAAGAGCTAGGTGTCTTAAATTATACAACAAATTTAAATAACAACTTTAGTTCATCTCTAATCTTAATCTTTAGAGAACAACAACTTTAGTTTTACTTATATCTCTCCGATTTCCGCTAAAAATCAATCAAAAATATCGTCAAAACTAATGAAAATTTTCTCATTTTCATTCTTTCTCTCTGATTTGATCGATACGAGTGTTTTGTAAGACACAATTACGTGCAACGGGAGATATACATATGTATAGCCCAAGAATGAAACACGCACTTTAAATGATTTGCGTTTTCTTTAATAATAGATTATTTTGAAATCGATATAGGGAAATCATTATTTTAATTATGTTAACAAAGCAAAAAGGAAAAAAAATCTTTTAACAGGCCTGTTTATGGACTGTGATTGCTCAATTTAATTATTTTTATGACACATACGATATAATAAATTAGTTTTTTTTTCGGACTTTCTTTAGTGACATTGATAAAAGTAATAAACTGTATATACAGGGTGGTTCAGTGCTTTAAAACGATTCAAATCATTCAAGAACAGCTGGATCGATTTTAATGATTTCTGATTTGTTGGATTCGTCTCTGTCCCAAATACTAGAATTACTCTTAAAATTTCGGAAACATATGCTTGGAACTTCGCCATCTGTCGCAATTGACAGCTCACGACATGCACGCTTATAAC